CTGTATCATTTTACACTTCCATCAGCAATGGATGACCGTTCCAGTTTCTCCATAACCTTGCCAACACCTACTGTTTTCCGTTTTTTTGGATCACTGCCATTCTAATTGGTAGGATGTTGCTACTGTAAACAAAGTGGCAATGAATACTCTCTTTACATATGTATATTTCTGTATCCATGTACAATTAGATTTGTAGATAAATTTCTAGAAATAAAATACCTTAATCAAAGGGATTGTATTTAAAATTTTTACGTACATTGCCAAATTATCCTCCAAAGGGATTGCAACAAACACTCTTACCACTAGTGTAGATGTGCCTGCTATTTCACACCCTCAAATCCACTGTAAATGGCCAAACTTTCTGATCTCTGTTAAACCAGTAAGTGAAATATGGTGTGTTGTTATTGTGTCAGATTACTTGAAGTAAAGGCTACTAGGAATCTGTAAGAGAAACAAGTTAAACAACAGCAACAAAAACCCTAAGGCTAAAATTGCACAAGCAATTTTTCATCCCCATGAAATGAAATATCTGGAATATGTGATTTTCAGACAAGTTATTAAACACCAAGTTGTGTTCCCTTGAGAAATTAAAACAATTATGCACATTATTTTTTGATGTGAATGTTTGAAGAAAAGAATCATGCCTGTACATGATTACTACTGCTGTGTTTCTGACTCTCAACACTGTTATCTTTCTAACTCCCACCGGGAGATAAATAAGGATAGACAGCTGGCTTTAAATTATACTAACCATGCTCCCAACACACACACACAAAGATCAAAGAAGGGTTCTGAGGTGAGAGATAATGCAAAACACTAAATGCATAAACCATGCACATTCAAAAACAAATCAGATAGTCTCATGAAAACATAGTCTATATTTACTAAAGAAAAACCTCAAATTCTCATGAGTTAAAACAAACAAACAAACGACAGGAACAACAAACCACTCCCTCTCTCACTGGCCAACTAAATCTCTTTGCTTATCTCTCTACTTCTCTTGGGATGCCTTTCAGTCCACAAATGTCCAGTGTAAATACCATTTCTTCCATAAAGTCTTCCCTGATGCTCTCATTTAAAAGTAATCACTTGTTCGTTTGGACTACTTAGAACATTTAACACTTTCTGTCTTGTAGTGTATTATTATTGCTTTTAATGTATGTCTTCATCTCCCTGGCATAATAATAAGTTTCATAAGGGAAAGGATTCTCTTACCTGTATTAATACTCACTGGCATCACACATAATTGTGAGACATAAAATGTACTAATTGAATGAAAAATGAATTCTAAAACAACCCTGTAAGTAAATTTAAGGTATAAGCTCATTTAAAAGATGAGGAAACTGCTTCAGAGAAGTTAAGTGATGTTCTTAAAATAAAAACAATTAACAAAACAGTGGAGCTGGGACTAAAACCCAGGTAGGCCTTTGGAATCCAAGTCAGTGTTCTTTCCACAGTAGCCAGCCTGATAATCCTAGCTCTAGATTTTTTATTGTAGTATTTCCATGTATTCTATAGACGTAGATTGTATCAACCTAAAAAATTAAAATGAGAATAAAGTATAATCAAAAGAAACCCATTGTCGTCAAGTCAATTCTGACTCATAGCAACCAGAAAGGACACGGTAGAACTGCACCATAGGGTTTCCTAGGCTGTAATCTTTAGGGAAACAGACTACCACATCTTTCTCCCACGTAGCGGCTGATGGGTTCGAACCCCAGACCTTCTGGTTAGCAGCCAAGTGCTTAACCACTGTGTCACCAGGCTCCTTTAAATATAATCATAAATTTACATTATCATTTTCAATATAACATATAAAATAATATAAATATTATCATCAAATCATGAACTTACAGTAGATAATTATTAGTTTATTTTTAGTAATTGGTGGGAAGAACTCTAAAAATACAAAATGAAAAAACATTGTTAAAAGGTAAAGTAAATATGCTCTCTAAGGCCATTACAACTCAGGTTACAATTTCATAACCCAACTGTACCACTGACAGTCTTAATGAAGACAAATGTTTATGAGGGATACTGAATTCAACATATTGTTTCTTGAACATCTGTTATGTGCTAGCAGTGTGTTAAGAACTTGAAATACAAAAATGAAAAAGACATAGTCCCTGCAATTGAGAAACTCACACTCTGGTAAGTGTGGCAATAATATAAACCTTCATTGTTCAGGCACTATCATGATTACTAAAAGTTCAAAACAGAATATAATGGATATTTATATAGTAACATCTATTTCTAAATCATGTTCCTTTGAAGATTTCATTGAGCAGAACCTAATCCTTTATAATGATACCATTTATCCTCATAAACATAATTACTGTCCTGTTCGGAATCAACTCAATGGCAACAAGTTTGTTTGTTTTTTATATAACACACATACTCTTGAGGTATATTAGGATTACTTGCCCTTAAAGTCTTTTACTACAAAAACCTTTTAAGATCTGTGTCTGTCTTTTTGTATGTATGTGTGTGTTTTGTATATCATTTAACTTTATCTCTCTTCTTCTGTTCCATTCAAACTTCCACCAATATTTTTTGAGTCTCTATTATGTCTTAGGTACTAGGTGCTGGGGATACAATGGTAAACAGGAGAGAGAAAAGCCCAGGCATCAAGAAGCCTGCATTCCAGTGGCAAAACAGGTAACAAGAAAACAAATAAATATGTAATATAATGCCACATAATTACAAGTGTTCAGAAGAAAACTAAGGTAGGCTAAAGGGATAGAACAGGCTATTTTAGGGTAGTGTGAGGCCTTGCTGAGGAGGTGGTATCTGAATAGAGAACTATATGAAGTGAAGGAGTAAGCCATGTCGACATCTTGGGGAACAGCCTTGTAGGCAACTACAAAGACTCTTAGCTGGGAATGAGCTTGGTGTATTCAATGAACAGTAACTTCCAAGTGTAGATGGAAACACTGAAACCTAATGTGGGGGAGGGTGACAGGATATAAAGTCAAAAAGGCTGACAGGAGTCAGATCCTATAGGGCCTTCCAGGCCATGGTAAGGGGTTTGAATTTTATTGTTAGAGAAGCCATTAACGGATTTTGAGTAAGAGAGTGACATGATCTCACTTACATTAAAAAAAAAAAAAAAGATACTAGTGGCTACAAGGAGGCAGCAGTAGATGGAGGGAAACACGTGTAGAAGGCTGTAGTATATTAAGGAAGAAATGACTGCTTAGACTAGGATGGCACTGATGGAGGGGGTGAGAAGTGGTCAGACTTAGAACATATTTAGAAGGTAGAGCAACAGGATTTGCTGCCGGAACAGATTGTGTGTGAGGAAAAAGAGAGGCGCAAGGTTTTTGGCCTGAGAAACTAGATGAAAAGTGATGCCATATGGAAGAGAGAACATACTCGGAGGTAAAAATCAGGGATTCTTTTGTCCATGTAAGTTTGAGATGCCTACTGGACATCCAAGTAGCCAATTAGATATCACTCATGGGAGAGATGATATATATTTGGGAATCGTTGTTGATGGCAACTAACAACAACAACAATAAAAGCATATAGACAGTATTAAAAGCCATAGACTTGATTAGGTTGTCTAGGTAGGAAATGAATGTAGACAGAAAAACAGAGCTGAGCACTGAGCACAGTCCTCAACATTTAGACATCACAAAGAAAAAAGAAGCTAGCAAAGAAAAAAACTGCCTAGTGAAGTTTAACAGGAAACCCAGCAAAGTGTGGTATTCCCAGCAAAACCAACAGAAGAAAAGTGTTTCAAGAAGGAGTGATCAACAAGGCCAAATTTTGCTGACAGGTATGTCAAATTCTGATGGGAAGTTTAGTAAGATGATGACTCCTTTGCTGTTGTATAATTTCTTGATGTTGGCAATCCTTCCTCTGATTTTTATCGTCTATAAAATAGAAAATTATATAACCAAGCTTCTTAAAGCTATATGCAAAGTGACTGTAAATAGGTGTTGGAAAGGATGTGAAAGGCTCTCCAGTAAATGAAGTGCATGAGCTTTAGTGCATGAATTTTATATAGCATCCTATTTACTCTCATCTGTGATCAAGGGAACTGAGATTTTTGATAAATGAACTCTGAAAAAGTTTCAAGGATCTGTATATAAAAACTGGAAAATGATGGCAAATAAAAAGCCATAAACTAGCAATGTTTTAAGGGATAACTACACCCACAGGTACATAAAGAAAACAAAAATCCTCACAACTGGACCAATAAGCAACATCACAATAAATGCAGAAAAGACTGAAGTTGTCAAGGTTTCATTGTACTTGGATCCACAATCAATGCCCATGGAAGGAACAGTCGAGAAATCAAATGATGTTATTGCACTGGGCAAATCTGCTGCAAAAGACCTCTATGAAGTGTTAAAAAGTGAAGATGACACTTTGAGGACTAAAGTGTGCCTCACCCAAGCCATGGTATTTTCAATCCCCTCATATGCATTTGAAAGCTGGACAATGAAAAAGGAAGACCAAAGAAGAATTGATGCCTTTGAATTGTGGTGTTGGCGAAGGAAATGGAATATACCGTGGACTGCCAGAAGAACGAACAAATTTGTCTTGGAAGAAATACAGCTAGCATGCTCCTTAGAAGCGAAGATGGTGAGACTTTGTCTCATGTTACTTTGGACATGTTGTCAGGAGGTACCAGTCCCTGGAGAAGGACATCATGCTTGGTGGGGTCATCGAGGGCCAGCAAAAAAGAGGAAGACCCTCAATGAGACGAACTGACACACAGGCTGCAACAATGGGTGCAGTGTTTTGTTCTGTTGTACACAAGGTTGCTATGAGTCAGAACCAACTAGATGGCACCTAATGACAACATATCGCAAGGAAAAAACAAAACAAACAAAAAACCGAACTTATTAATAACAACAAAAAACTCAGTCCTGATAGATGTCTCTATCAACAGATTTGGTAGTTGCATGCTTGATTCCTTATAGAGGGGCAGAATACGATACAGGCATATTAGACTAAGAATAAATTAATTCAAAATTTAAACTACTTACCGGCAAGCACAAGGGTAACATTCAGTACAATGAATATTCCACAAAAGAGGCCAACTCTAAAAGTAGTCCATGCTGGTGCAGGCTGTAGACAGAAAAACAGCACTTGAGATATAGTGCAAAATATTGATTGCATTTAGTATTGTTGTTGTTAGGTGCCATCGAGTCAATTCTGACTCATAGTGACCCTACAGGACAGAGTAGAACTGCCCCACAGGGTTTCCAAGGAGTGGCTGGTGGATTTGAGCTGCTGACCTTCTGGTTAGCACCCGAGCTCTTAACCATTATGCCACCAGGGCTCCAGTATAGGCTATAGTAAATTAATGTGACTTGATCAAAGGCCTATTATGAAAATAACAGTATCTTACGATCTGAAATTTTATAAATGTGAACCAGAGAATCACCATCACAACCTGTAATACTGGAATAGAGTCGCTAGTTATTTAAATTCTTTTACAGAAGTCTAGTAAGTCACTAAATAGATTATAATCTTAGGCATCAATATATATACACATACACTGAGTTTTTCTTTTAGGAGAGATTAAAAATGCAATCCTATTTTTTTTAGGATGCAAATTTATTTTTACGGATTTATATACATTTCTGAATTTTGTAATAAATACAATTAGAATTTACATATTTGGTACTATGAATAATAGAGACAACAGTAAAAATAAGAATACTCATTTTCTGACAGTGTTGTTGCAGTTGTTAGGTGCCCTCAAATCAGTTTCGACTCAAAGAGCCCCTATGTACAACAGAACAAAACACTGCCCAGTCCTGTGCCATCTTCACAATCATTTCTATTCGTAAAGTTTTCACTAGGCAATTTTTTTTTAGCAATAGATTGCCAGGTCCTTCTTCCTAGTCTGTCTTAGTCTGGAAGCTCTGCTGAAACCTGTCCACCATGGGTGACCCTGATGGTATTTGAAATACCAGTAGCATAGCTTCCAGCATCACAGCAACACACAAGCCACCACAATACAACAAACTGACAGACGATAGTACTCATACTACTATACTAAGGTAATTTAAAGTGAAATTTTCAGGGTAGACTAGAGATTTTCAAGAATCTCCAAGTGGGATGGGTGAGCTAAAAAAAACTTTTTCACTGGAGAAATGGACACAGGGAACCCAGGGTGGAAAAAGGGAGAGTGATGACACATTGTGGGAATTGCAACCAATGTCACAAAACAATCTGTGTATAAATTTTTGAATGAGAACCTAAAACAAATAAATAACTACATATTTTTCTGTAATTTTATATTTAGAAAGTGATGAAACTACTGTTTTCTAAAATAAATAAAAAATATCTGCTATTTTAAAAGTAAAGGGTTGAGAAATACTGAGAGAAACAGTCTTATGGATTCAAATACTTGCTATGAATGTTATAAAAATCTGCTGTTGTTGTTAGATGTGGTATTACATTTAACACATTTTAAATGTTTTCTAAAAACCTTCAAACCAAAAAAAGCATGGAGATTGCCTCTTACTTACTACTTATCAGTAACAGACATCTGTATTATACAGTTTTAGACTGGAAGCATCCAGAAGGAAGATGACCATTTGTCTTTTTTAAAAATTTATCTTTACTTTTAAAAATTGTGCAAGTTATTATATATACAAAATAATGTATATAATGTATTTAGACTGTTAGAAAATGAATATTAAAGTGGACAACCAATACCTATCACCTATCTTTGGAAACAGAACTTTACCATTACCTTTGAAGTCTCTACCTATCCATATACAATAACCTTCCCTCCTCACCATACACAGAAGCCCTGGTGTCACAGTGGTTAAAGTGATCAGCTGCTAACCAAAAGGTCAGTGGTTCAAACCCACCATCTGCTCCGGAGGAGAAAGATGCAGCAGCCTGCTTCTGTAAAGATTTACAGCCTTGGAAACCCTATGGGGCAGTTCTACTCTGTCCTATAGAGTCGCAATGAGTCGGAATTGACTCGGCAGCAGTGGGTTTGGTTTGGCTTTTGCCTCACCAGAGATAACCGTTTCCATGTTTCCTCTAGCTTTGTGTGCATTCCAAAACAACTTAATTTAAAAAAATCAACTTTCTTATTTTAACAGCTTTATTGAAATATAATCAACGTACAATGAACGGCATATATTTAAAGTATACAATTTGATAAGTTTTGATATATGTAAACACCTATGAAAGGAAGCCCTGGTGGCGCAACAGTTAAGTGCTCGGCTGCTAACTGAAAGTTTGGTGGTTTGAACTTACCCAGCAGCTCCATGGGAGAAAGACCTGGTGATCTGCTCCCATAAAAATTACAGCTTAGAAAACCCTATGAGGCAGTTCTACTCTGCCATGTGGGGTTGCTATGAATCGAAAATCTACTCAAAGGCACCTAACAACAACAAACACCTCTGAAACTATCACCATACACAAGATAGAGAACATATCCATCACCCCCAGGAGTTTCTCATGCCCTTTTGTAATCCTTCCCTCTTACCTCACCCTACTCTACTACCAGGCAACAGCGGATCTGCTTTCTGTCGCTATATACTAGTTTGCATTTTCTAGATTCTTACGTAAATGAGATTACACAGTTAGTACTCTTTTGGTCTGGTGTCTTTCTCTCAGCATAATTAAGATTCACTCGTGTTGTATGTAACAAGTAAACCAGATGCATGTAACGAGTAAACCAGATGAATCAATCTAGTTGATTCAGACTCATGGTGACTCCATGTGTTGGTGGCACAAACAGTTAAGTGCTGGGATACTAACCAGAAGATTGGTGGTTTGGAGCTGCCTGTAGCCTAGAAGAAAGACCTGGTGATCTGCTTCTGAAAAGTCAGCCATGAAAACCCTGTGGAGGGTAGTTCTACTCTGAAACATATGAGGTCACCATGATTGTCGCACATACCAATAGTTTATTCCATTTGATTACTGAGTAGTATTCCATTGTATGGATATACCACAGATTGTTTTTACATTCCTCTATTGATGGATATTTGGACTGTTTCCAGCTTTAGGCTATTATGAATAAAGCTGCTATAAATATTCGTATACAAGTCCTTATACAGACATATGCTTTCATTTGTAGAATGGCTAGATCTCATGGTAGGTCTATATTTAACTTATTAAGAAACTGCCAAACTGTTTTTGCAATGTAGTTGTACCATTTTACATTGCTACTAGCAATGTCTGAGATACGTGAGTTCCTGTTTCTCGAACATTTAGTATAGCCAAGCTTTTTCATTTTAGTCATTCTAATAGGCATAGGTTAACTCATTGTGGTTTTAATTTGCATTCCCCTACTCACTAATGATATTAAGCATCTTTTCACATTCTTATTTACCATCCATCTTCTTCTTCTTTTTAAAATTGTGGTAAATATATGTAACAAAACACTTGCCACTTCAACATTCTTCACAAATATAGATAAGTGACATTAATTACATTCATCAGGTTGTTCAACCATCACCCGTATCTGTTCCCAAATTTTTCTATCACCCTTAAAATAATCTCAGTGTTCCCTAAGCATTGAATCCTCTTCTCCCCTTTCCTCCACCTACCCATGTTAGTAACTAATAAACTTTGGTCTCTATATACTTACCTATTCTAGATACTTCACATAAGTGAGATTATTCAATATTTGTCCTTTTGTTATTGATTTATTTCAGTCAGCATAATGTTTTCAAGGTCTGTCCATGTTGTACCATGTATCAGGACTTCATTTCTTTTTAGTATACCTTCTTTGATGAGGAGTCTGTTCAAATCTTTTGTCCATTTTTAAATTGAGTTCTTTATTATTGAGTATTGAAGTTCTTTATGTGTTTTGGATACAAGTCCTTTATAAGATATGTTTTGTAAATATTTTCTTCCAGTCTGTTGCTTTTCATTCTCTTAACAGTTATCTTTGGAAGAACAGAAGTTTTTAATTTTGATGAAGTGTTTTAGTGTCACTTCTAAGAAATCTTTGCATAACCAAAGTTACTAGGATTTTTGTCTATATTTTCTTGTAAAAATTTGTAGTTCTAGGTATTACATTTAGGTCTATGGTACATTTAGAATTGATATTTGTATATGGTGTGAAGTATGGATGGAAGGTTTTTTTTTTTTTTTGGCATATGGATTTGTGATTGTTTCCGCACAATTTGTTGAAAATACTATCCTTTCTCTACTGAATTTCCTTTGCAGCTTTATTGAAAATTGTTGTTGCTGTTAGGTGCCATCGGGCCACTTCTGATTCATAGCGACCCTATGTACAACGGAAAGAAACACTGTCCAGTCCTGCCCCATCCTCACAATTGTTGCTATGTTTGAGTCCACTGTTGCAGCCACTGTGTCAATCCATCTCGTTGAAAGTCTTCTTTTTCACTGACCCTCTATACTTTACCAAACATGATATCCTTCCCCAGGAACTGGTCCCTCCTGATAATATGTCCAAAGTACATAATACAAAGTCTCGCCATCCTCACTTTCAAGGAGCACTCTGGCTGTACTTTTTAAAAAAATTGTGTGAAAGTTTATAGCTTAATTTCTCATTCAAAAATTTATACACATATTGTTATGTGACACTGGTTGAAATTTCCCTCAGTGTTACAGCATGCTCCCCCTTTCCACCCCAGATTTCCTGTGTCCCTTTGCCCATTTCCTGTCCCTTCCTGCCTTCTCATCCTGCTTTTGGACAGAAGCTGCCCGTTTGGTCTTGTATATTTGATTGAACTAAGAAGGATGTTCCTCATATGTGTTATTTTTTGTTTTATAGGCCTAACTTTTGTCTGAAAAGTGGACTTTGGGAATGGTTTGAGTACTGGGTTAACAGAGCGGCCGGGGGCCATAGTTTCGAAGGTTCCTCCAGTATCTGTCAGACCAGTAAGTCTGGCCTTTTTACATGAATTTGAACAGTGGTCTATACTTTTCTCCCACTCTGTCCAGGACTCTCTGTTGTGATCTCTGTCAGGGCGGTTGTTGGTAGTAATCGGGCACCATCTAGTTCTGCTGGCCTCAGGCTGGTAGAGTCTCTGGTTCATGTGGTCCTTTAGTCCTTTAGGCTAGTATTTTCCTTATGTCTTTGGTTTTCTTCATTCTCCTTTGCTCCGGGTTGGATGGGACCA